AGAGACAGTGAGCAGATTGCTCTGTGTGTGTGTGTGTGTAGCAGGAGCACGTTAGGGGCCGTCTGCATTGTGCAGGGAGGCACCTGTCTGCCTGCCCTGGGCCTCGCTGTGCTTGGCGGGCACTGCATATGCAGTGTGGAGTTACCCCAGGTCTGCTCTCAGGCTGTGCCTCGGGGCCCTTGCATGGCAGGATGCCCCCTGGCCTCTCCCACGGCTGCCAGGCCTCCCAGTGCCTGATCCCTACCAGGGGCAGTAACAACACCTGTCTTCTGTTGGCTTCTGGTCTGGCCTCTCCCTGGGAGCTTGGGAGGACAGAGGGGAGCTCCTGCTCCCTCCTGCGAAAGCCAGCATCGGAGAACATCCCCCGGGCAGGTGCCCCGCTTCCTCAAAGAGCAGGCCCTCCACTCACCTAGGGACCTTGCTGGGGGAGCTGGGGTCAGGCGGGGAGGCCAGGCACTTCTTCCAGAAGGCACCACACCGTCCATCCACATCATCCCTGTAGCTCCCAGGCTCCAAACCTTGGAGTAGCCGTGCTGGTTGGCATGCGTAGGTTTGCACACCTGGCAGGGAGTGTGGCAACTGTGTGCCCACACTGGCCTCCTCTCTCCTCACAAGCACCCCCCACCCCCCCACCCCCGCCATCTCCTCTGCTTCCTGGGTCCCCCTGACCTCCCACCCGGGAGGTCTCAGCCCAGGTGCCATGGTGCCTGGCCTACAGCAAGTACTCTGGTCACCTGTGCACCTGTAGGTAGCGCTGCGTGTGTGAGCCATCTGAAGAACTTTGTCCGGGCATCTGAGGGTGGGGACAGGGCCGCCCCCCGAGTGAGGTCCGCCACGCAGACTCACAAAGAATCCTGCTGCAACGGGGAGACGACTCCCAGAGGTCCGAGCTCCACCCGCTCGCTCTTCCAGCAAGCAGGGCCGGAGGAGGTGTGGGCCACTGGTCTGGGGGTGGGTGAGAGTCTCTGGTCACCACCAGCTCTTTGGCAGGTTTGGGGCGACGGTGGCCATCGGGCTGACCATCTTTGTGCTCTCCATTGTCACCATCATCATCTGCTTCACCTGTTCCTGCTGCTGTTTGTACAAGATGTGCCGCCGACCCCGTCGTAAGCATGCCCGCCCGAGCCCAGCCTGCAGGGCAGCCCCCTGGGTGGGCAGGAGGGGCTGACCAGGCCGCTGTAGCTAAGCAGTTAGGAGGGCGGCAGGCTTGGGGGGGTCAAGAGGGTTCCTGACTGGGCCTCTTTTTGCAGCTGTTGTAACTACCACCTCCACCACCGTGGTGCACGCGCCTTACCCACAGCCTCCCAGTGTACCGCCCAGCTACCCGGGCTACCACCCCATGCCCCACCAGCCAGGTCCAGTGGTAGCACCCTACCCTGCACAGTATCCACCTCCCTATCTGGCCCAGCCCGCGGGCCCGCCTGCCTACCACGAGATGTTTGTTGGTGAGTACCGTGGGCACCTCTATGACCCCACCTGGACCTGGGGCTCCCCCCTTCAGAGTACACCCTTGACCACCAGGCCCTGCGCCCCTTCCTACCCATAGCTCACCCCATCTGCTCTCTTCTCAGGAGGTGCAACTGCGCCCTATCCTGCCAGCCAGCCTCCTTACAACCCGGCCTACATGGATGCCCCGAAGGCAGCCCCCTGAGCCTGCCCTGCCGCTTCGTGTGCGCTTGCGTGTGTGTGTGTATGTGCATATGCGCGCACACATGGGGGTGCTGCTGCCACGGTCTTCTCTGCCCCATGTGAGGTGCGTGTCTACTCTCTGTACACGTAGTTTCATTTGATGCTGACAAGGTGGGGGGACGACCCTTGCCAGGGCAGGCTGGGACCAAACTCTCTGTCCTCGTCCTTACTTGAAACTGCTTGCTGAAATCTCAAGCAAACTTTAAAGAAGGGAGTGGGGTGGGAGGTTTCTTCTTCGAATACCCTGAGCCTGTCGTACTAGGACAGCCCAGAATTCTCTGGGCAAGAATTTGCCTCCAGAGCCGTGGCTGTCAGCAGCCTGGGTCCAGCATTATGGGTCCTGGTTCCGGCGGAGTGGCCAGTTGGGCCATGGCTTCCTAGGGTGTGGGGTGCTTCTCTCAAAGCCAGCCATGCTGTAGGCAAGGGAGTGAAGTTGGGAGCTGGCTAATGATCCTCTGGACACAGTCCCAGCACTCAGGAGCTTGAGCCTGCCCAGTGGGCATCGGTGATGTCCAGCACACTGCAGGGCTACCCCAGACCGTTCTCAGGGCCAGCTTCAGCACCCACAGCTGTCTGTCTGGCCTGCCCTTGCACCCCCTGGGGCCAGCTGGAAGTCCATGTCCACCCACAGTTCTTGCTGCCTGAGGAAGCTGTCCTGCCCTTGCTGGCTGCAGTCTACCGTCGACTCCAGTCTTCTCCTTGCAGTGTTTTTAGCCAAACCTTTGCCCTGTGTTCTACTCTGAAATGTGTTACATTTGTTGGGAGGCTGAAACTTCTGGGTCCTGGGGGGGGAACTGACCTCCGAGTCCCTAGTCCCTGACACCAGCACAGTGGGTTCAGCTCCTTGTACCTCAGTCTACAATGCATTGTGAGCAGGGCCCGAGGGTCAAGGGCCTCCTGGACCGACGGTGGGGCGGGACTGGAGTGACAGCTCAAGCCCCAGTGTTCTCACCCTTTGCTTGATGCCCGCACGCTGTGCTGTGTATAATAAAGGCACACATTTGGACCTGGACCCCTCATGTCTTCACAGCCTGGGCCATGTGTCCTTTCCATCCTTCCTGCTCACATGGGCTCGGTCTTGCTGAGCAGAAGTGCGGTTTACCCACCTTTAGAGGGTAGTGCATGCACAGAAGACCAATGACCATCAGGTGCTGTTGGAGGTCTTTATTAGATTCTTGGCTCTACTGCCCAGGTGTGACCAAGGACAGCCCATAGAGCATGGCTACTGCCAAGGTCAGAAAGGCCAGCAGGCCCAATGGGGCCAGTAGCCCCTCCCTGGGCAGGATTCCAGAGCTTTCTGTGGGGAGAGGACCCTTGGGCTTCCTGCCCCCTCTAGAGCTGGGACTTAGGTTCCTGGCTGTAACCAGGGATGCAGTGGCTGTGGCACCTGATGGCCCTGGGTTGGTCACAGTGGCGGCTTCCACCCTGTACATGGGCTTGATGGTGCTGAAGGGCCTGGCATGAGCGTCCACCCAATGCAGCAGGGCCTGTGGCCGCCACTGACAGATGCTGACCAGGGCCAGCACATCCCCCTCAGCCGTGTGAGAGTCGGGCGGGGTCTGCCCGTAGAGGCGTGTGTAGATGCTACCCAGACTGTAGCTCTTCCTGGGGCCCCGCTCTGAGGGACTGTCGGCCCGCTCCAGGGCCTTCAGAGCAGTGATGCTGTCCACGCAGAAGGCACCGTCCAGAGCGCTAGCCAGGCCCAGGGCAGTCAGCTCCGCCTGCAGCAGGGGGAAGTCATAGCGGTCTCCGTTGTGCGCCACGAGGCACCAGGGCTGTGGCTGCCGGAGCAGGAAGGCTCGAAGCAGGTTGCTCAGGTCGGCGTTGAAGCCCTGGCGCCCGTGTGCAACGAGTGCGGCTGTGCTCAGGCCCGTGATGTCACTGGCCGCAGGGCTGCAGGCCTTCCCCGGTGCAATACACAGGGAGAGCTTGTCCACCACGCGTGGCAGCGGAGGCAGCTGCCCCTGTGGCGCTCGGGGCTTCTCCAGAGCACATCTGTGGATGGCCAGCAGACAGAGTTCCGTGACCTTGGGCTGGGAAAAGGGCAGGCCAGTGGCCTCCAGGTCCAAGAAGATGAGCGTCTGCACGGGACCCAGGGCTGGGGCCTTGGAGCCCATGGTGGGGCCAGGACCTGCTGCTGAGCCTGGGAGGGGCAGGGGTAGGGGTGGGGTGCGTGAGCGCCCCAGTGAAAAGATCAATGGCAGCGGTGAGGCGGGGTAGGAAGCCATCTTCACACAGAGCACTCACCTGTCGGTTGGTGTGCAGGTCTCTGTCCTGAGTTTGGGCCCTCCCCTAGTGCCTATCTAGTAGGGGACCCCACCGCCATCCCCCTGCCCCGTAACCCCTGGGACTCCCTGGGGTCTGCACTTACCGAAAACGCACTACTATCATTCAGGGTGCACACGAGCTGGTTCCTGGCTGGCTGGCCAGCAGTGGCGGGAAGTGAAACACAGCCGGCCCGCCCCTGCCCCCACCCCCTGAGCAATACCCGCCTACGAGTCCACGTGAGCAAGGCGCGGCCCTGCTCTGCCAGCCCAGGCCTCTCTCCTTAGCACACACTGCTCCCCTCCCCCAGGGCCTGCTCAGCTCCACAGCTGTGGGCCAGCGGCTGGCACAGTGCCCCAGGGCGCTCCCCCTGGTGAGGGGCCAGGGACCCGGAGCCCTGGTCGTGAGGTGGCTAGCTCCAGGACTAGCCCCAGCCCTGTTGGGGGGTGGGGTGCTGCCCAGACCTAGGTGTCCCTAGTTTCAGCCCGAGGTGGAGGCTCCTCATTCCCGTCACACATGGGTTTCTTCCCTTGGCCCCAGCCCAGAAGAATGACTCAGCAATTCCAGAACCAGGACAGGGCTCCTTCCTGGAGGCAGCGAGCTGCACGGGCGTGGGCAGGAGGAAGGAGCCCTTCCCCCGGTCCTGCTGTTCCTCCCACTCGCAGCCACAGATAGACCAGACTCAGGAAACAGCACCGAGGAGAGGGTTTTCTCGGCAGGAACAGCCGTCGCTGCGTTTAATCCGTCCATGAAGTGAGGAAGCGTTGCTGGGCGGCTGCCCGGCCTCACGTGCAGTCCATCTCGGAGTCGTCCACATCGCCCTCGGCAGCACAGAGGTCGTCCAGGGCTGCCTCTGCACCGCAACAGGGGAGGGTTCTGCAGTGAAGCCCTGTTGGGGAGTCCCCGCCCCAGTGCCTTCCACACCCAGGCCTTGCTCCCCTGCTACTGCAAGCAAAGTGATACAAAGGCAATTCAGGAAGGGATGTTGCTGGAAAAACCATGGCTCTGCCAGGTCAGCTCCACAGAGCTGAGCAAAAAGGCAGCCCCAGTGTTCACAGCCAAGCTACAGCAGGAGCAGACAGTGAGTGCAGGCGCCTCAGAGAAAGCCCCTGTGGGGGCTGGGCAGCGAGGGGCCCTCTGGGCAACTCACCTTCACAGTCTGTCATGTCCGGGAGCCCTCGGATCAGGGCACTGACCCCGGGCATCACCTGGTCGAACTTATGCAGGACCTCCACGCAGTGCACGGTGAAGAGCTTGTCTCTCTGGGACAGGTTGGCGAGTAGCAGGACTGTGTCCCGTAGGCACCGAACTGTCCGCTTCTGCTGGTCTGTCCTCGGAGGTCCCTCTGCCCTCCGCACCGTCAGCCACTGTCTGTGCAGCATCACTGTGAGGGCTCTCACTGCCTGGGGTGGAGGTGGGAGGGAGACAGCTCTGTGTGGCGGGCATCAAGTTAGGAGCAGAGGGGCTTGCACTGGACCACCTTCCCCACTCAGAGCTGCCTTGCATTGGCAGCTCCCTGCCCCTGGCCACTCACCTCCACAGTGCACTGGCAGTTACAGCCAGTGACTGGCAGGGTGGGGCTCTGCATACCCAGCTTCGCCAGCAGCCACACCACCTAGAACAGCACAGGAGACGGGAACCACCCCTCTCGCTGGGGCTGTCCTCAGCGTCTCCTGAAAGAGCCCCAGCTGCCTCAGCAATTGCTCCTCGGCCCAAAAGTGGGTTTGTGGGGCCTTCCCAAACCAAGCATTGTGGCTCACCAACAATCCACCCGCCTCCTGGTCCTTTAGGCTACCAGGACCCCCAGCCCGCAAAAGATGAATCACCGGGAAGCTCTGCCATGCCCCAGGGCCAGTGGATGGTTGGCATCACCTGGGTGGTGGGCCACCTCATGGTCACTCCGTCCCGGGGCCTAGGAGGGCGGGTGCAAGTCGTACCTCTTGTTCCAGCTGGAGCCACTGCCTTCCGGAGGCCGCCGGGTCGGGCCTGGACGTGATGTACATGTACAGCAGCAGCAGAAGGCAGCCCTCTGCAAAGGACGCCCCACCGTCACTCAGGGTGCCCTTCTTGCTTAGATGCCGGGGCGAGGCCCACGACCCTGCCCCCACCACAGCCCACCCAGGGGCTGCCCTGCTCCGCCCCACCATACCTGAGTGGGAGCAGAGCTGAGGAGCAAGCTTCTCGTGATCTACCAGCAGGGAGAGTAGTTCAACAGCCAGCAGCACGCTGGGGAGAGGTGTCTCCAAGCTGAGGCATTGTGGCAGCACCCGGAACACACACTGGAACCTACAAATCAGGCCCAGAGACACATAACAACCCGAGGCCCAGTTCTGATCCCCCCAACCCCCCACCACTTCCCACCACTGGTCTCCTATGACTGTCTCAGAGGAGGTTGTCGGGCAGAGTACAACTGTCCCCAAGGCTGTCAGTCTTCCCAGAAACTCGCACAGCTTCCTTTAGAGGGGCAGTTGATACCCATGAAGAGACCAGGTACAGACAGACCTGGTAGCTATACTCCACCCGCTTGCTACGGAAACCCACCTGAGTGGACACATGGGGACTGACCTTCCGGACTGGGCTGCTGAGGCTGGGAGCTGACAGGCCCCCACCTGGTAGTGTCCTTGGATCCACAGTGCCTGGCCCTGACTTGTGAGAGAACTGTCGTGTGCCTGCTAGTTGACTGCTTGAAATTCCCAAAGAGACACCCATGGGTTCGGCTATTGCTGGACCGAGACCACTCAGAGGCAGGAAGACCACTTCTCCTCTGCTGCCAAGCGTGAGAAGGGCTCTGCCAGCTGTGCACTGGGGGGGGTCCCAGGCACACGCTCGCTCACCCAGGTCACGGGGCAAAGGAACACTTTTCACCAAGGACCTAGTTCCCAACCTAGAGCCTAGCTGTTGGCTCAATCCACACAGCCCAGGGAGCATGAGAGAGGCTTGGCTGGGGAGGGCCAATTCTCACACACCCTCTGCGTCTGTCTCCCTGGATATGTGTCCCTGCCTGCACCCTCACATTCCTGAGTAGGAGTCAAGGCCATTCTTCAGTATCACATGCCAACCTGGTGAGGTGGTTCTAGAACGAATCTTGCACAGCACAGCTAAATGCCCTTCAGTTGTCCACCAGGGACCAACTCCCAGGCTTGACCTGGTTATATACCTGGTTTCACCCTTAGGCTAGAAGTAGCCCCTATGTAGTCCACCCGAGCCCTCACATCGCTAAGAAATACCCACCTTTGTATCAAATACAGTGGCTTCTAACCTTCTTAATCACATCAGAACCTTTTAAAGTGAAATCTTATATACAAAGGGAGCGTCCGTCCTATGAGGGGGCTTCAGAAAGTTCATGGACAAATGGAATTAAAATAATGAAAATTTCCTACCATCTCTTTGGGGCCTCTTTCACTTGCTCAGAACCACTTGCTGTCCTAGTCCCTGGAGAGCCACCCTGGTGCCCTAGGACTATAATGGATACAACAGGTACAGAGAGGGTGAATGAATAAGAGGGGATTTTTTTTAGGGGGTGGGGCACACGAGTACTCCCCTGGATAAGGCTACTGAGGGACAGAGAAGGGGCTCTTTCCTGCTATTTACATTGCTTCTCACGCTCTTAATGAGCATCCCTACCTCAAGCTTTCACTCCTGGGGTGGGGTGGGGGGTGGAATTGTAGGTCCTGGCCTTCAGCTCAGCACATAAATAAAGGAATTCTAAAGGGCACTGAGCGGGCAGCAGTAAAGGACAGTGATAAGGGACTGACATCGGGCCGAGAGCCACCCCCGGGCAAGCGTACTCACTATGGTGCATGCGGTGCACCAGGCTGGGAGGATGTAGGGCTGGGAGGGCATGACATGAGCTGTGCAGGGAGCACCGGTCCTCGTGCCGAGCTGAGCAACCAGCTCCTGTGAACAGGGCTCCTGACAGACACCTGTCCTCCCCGCACCCTCCCATGCTGCTGATGCACGGCAGCGCTGTGGGCAGCATGGAGAGCCCCTGCAGGATAGATGGAGAGCGAACAGAAACTGTTCGGATGGACACCCTGGGCCTAGAAGTGTTCCAGGACATGGGAATGCTGAACTCTGAGGTGAACTCACCTATCTCCAGCCAGCAGACATTCCAAAGGGCCCCTGGAAGGAGTGCTGAGGGGGCTTGACTAGGGGATGAGGACTGGTGTTGCCAGTTCTGCGGCTCTGGGCCTGGGCCTGGAGGCCCTGGCTCCCTAAGCTAGGACTCTTTGAGAACAGTGATCACTAGATTGTTCCCACTTCCAGCAAATGTCAAGAGGAGCAAGCAACCTGTGGCTCATGCCAGTGGCAGGCACAACGAAGCAGACCCCCAGCAGGCCAACCTGTGGGCTGCAGACCTGCCCCACGTCCATTGCTTCCTTAGGGGATCCACTAAATTCCATGTGACTGTGGCCTCTTGGTTCAACCTTTGTTCTGGGGGGAGGGAGGGGGCGTTCTTCTATGGTAGCTAAGAGCCTCCTTTGATCACATGTGCCTTCTGCTTCCCAGCTTTAAGGCGGCAGAATTAAACCCAATAAACCCTCAACACCTGGTGGCACGTCCCTTCCTGTCAGTCCTCCCTGACCTGTGTGCCTTGTCAACCAGTCCAGGATGTGAGCAAGGGTCAAGGCCAGGCACCCACAATGCTTTATACCTGGGCAACAAATCAAAGGAAGCGTTTTCTGCTAATTTCACCAAAACCGTAAGGCACTGGCTCAGGGTGCTGGCTCCAGGGTGACCTGTTGCTTCCGAAGAGAAAGCCAGCAGCTGCAGAAGCATCTTCAACAGTGGATGTGGGGCTTGGTCATCAGCAGTCCCTTTGGGGGCTGAGGTCAGCTCCCCGTGAGCTTGTCTGTGAACCAGGCTCTCGTTGCCTTCCCCAGCAGCGGAATCCGGTCCAAGTCGCGACAGCAGTTGGCAGACAACAGCACCGCTGTGGCACACCAGGTGCTGAAGAACGCAGAGGGAAGCCACCGAGAAGCCTTCCAGGTGGCAGAGCGAGTCCTCGGGGTTGGCCTCTCCCCCTGCGCTCACACAGGCAGGGTGGGGGGGTGGGTCCCCAGGTGCTCCACTTCTCTTGGCGGCTGCCATGTCCTGCAGAGCCTGGCAGTGTAAACCGACGAAGAACTGGATGAGGGGGAGGAGATGCGCAGCTCCAGGAAGCTGGCAGAGTGGGAAGGTCCTTCTGCCTCCTTCTGCTGGGTCTTGGTCACATGAAGCTTCACTCCTGGCAACCAGATTAAGCCCAGTGACTGCCAGGTCCTGTGCTTCTCTCAGGGCTGAGGAGGAAAATGATCCCTCATGAAAACCTGTGGTCCTGAGACCTGAAATCCCAGCCAAGGCACTGGCAACAAACACAAAAGAAAAGACAAGTGTGGGATGGAGAGAATGCCGAAGGTCCCCAACCACTTCTCTGCAGAACATTCTAGTGTCCCAGGCCAGCCCACAAACCTCCCAGGCTGGGCAAGGCAGAAAGAGGCATGCTCCCTGGCAACTCCTTCCCACATGAGGAGCCTCACACTTACCTGCCAAGCCCTGGTGGTTGTAAAAGGGGGCCAGTAGGAGTCTCAGAACAACTGCTCAGGAGGTGGCACAGACCTAGGGATGACCCTGGGACCAAAGGTTGCTTCAAAATCAGGTTTATCAAAATGGAACCTGCAGAAAATAAGGCGATTCTAGAAGGTTCTGACAGGGAAAGCTTTTTCTAGGGCCTCAGAATTAAGTTTGGGGGGGGTCCCTTGGACGCCCATTAGGGAGCCCTGGTGGTAGAGCGGGTGGTAAGCATTGGGCTGCTAACGACAAGGTTGGCAGTTCAAACCCACCAGCCACTGAGGGAGAAAGATGAGGCCTCCTGTTTACCTAAAGAATTACAGTCTCAGAAACTCTATGGGGTTTGCCTGTGTCTTATAAGATCACTGGTCATGAGTCAGAACCAACTCGGAGGCAGTGGGTTCTGGATGCCAACTGCCACCTAAGCTGCGGACCCACTGTGAGCCCCGAAGGCTCTGGGCCCTTTCCACTTTATAATCTGCCACTGGTGTCAGCGATGGTTCTCTGAAGCAGTGGCTGGCACCAGGCAGTCCTTTGGGTGATGAGGCATGCAGGTGGGGCCGGACTCTCGGTACCTTGAGTGAGTGATCTCTGCATCCAGCTGTCAACGAGGGGTTTCTGGACCTCTTCTTGTTTTATAGATCCGCCTCCCAGAAGATGGGTCTTGTTTTCTGAGCCTAGATAAAATGTGAATCAAAATTTGAAATAAAAGGACAGGGATCCCCAAACCCTCACATGTTTCTTATATGCAGAACAAAGTGAAATTGTTCCACTTCTTCAACCTTGGATCCAAACAAGAGCCAAAGACGCACAAGAATCCTCTCGTATTGTGTCTTCCTCATGTAAAATAGGAGCGTGCACAGGTAAAGACACTTTTCACTCCAAAACCAGGCCATAAGAAAACATCACTAACTACCACCTCCTAGTGGAAGCGGCTTCTACGACTCCAGCCACTGTTATGAGAGTTTTGTACATGCTCGTGTGTCATTTGTTCTTCACAGTGGTGGTGCTAGCATTAGCCTATCACAGGTGGAAAAATGGCGGCACAGAGGCCAAGGGACTTGTCCAAAGTCACACAAGCCAGGAAGTATTGTGACTGGAACTCCATCCAGGCCCTTATGCTCCTCTGCCAGCTTGTGACCACCCTGCACTGCCTTTAATTACAAGACGCCAGAAGACACGAGTGGGCTGCAGATCGATCCTCCGCAGCCGTGCCATGGCTGAGGGCAGGGAGAGGCAGTGTTGTCTGCACCCTAAGCTAAGCTGGAAGTGGTCTCAGGGTGAAACTCTCCCGTCAGACGGCCTCTAGTAGCAGCGGCCTTCCCGCAGTCGAGCTGAGCTGAACAAACCCGAGCTGAGAGTGCAGAGCATAAGCCCCTGACTACCAGCTGTGTCTCCAGTATGGTGAGCGGATGCGGACTGTAGTAGCTTTAAAAGGTGCCTGCAAGTTCTTTAATACACTTCCCTTCCAAAGGTGAAGCTGAGTTTCATTTCCTCTGAATGTGGTCCAGCCACGGGTTGACTTGCTTCTAACATTGAGAATGCGGCAGAAAACATGTGATGGGACTTTAGAGGTTAGGCCCTAAAAAAGGTCACTGTTGCCTGGCTCTCCTCTGGTTTGCTCTTTCTAGAAAACTCCATCTGCCGCATCATCAGTAACCGTGTGGAGAGAATCTACGGAGTGAGTCACTTTGGAAAGATCGGTCAGTCCCAGCCCACCCCCACCCCCACCCAGGCAAGGGACGATCGTAGGTGGTCATTGTTGTTTGATGCTACATTCTGGATAATAATAGAGGACAAACATACTGACTTACCTTCTCTACCCACCAGAGCCTTGAATCCTGCCTCTGTCTGGCAGGGATGTGGAAGGGATGTGCTAGCGCTAAAAGACTCCTTTGTAGGGAAAGATGTTTTTCCACCTTGTGGAGGGCATGCTTCTGGCTTTATCAGCACCGAAGGACATTTCCTAGGACTGGAAACAGATGACCATGAACGCAAAGCAAGGATTCTGCTAGAACTGCTTGAAATACCCAGTTAGAAAACTTACACCCACAAGCTTTAAATCTCCTCCGTCTAGGAGTTTTCACAAAGGGTTACTCTGTAACAGGTGTGTTACTCTTTCTCAAGCCGCTGAAGTCTTTATTCTCTGTTATTCTACTCAGCCACAAACTGTTCGTAGCAGCAGCTCCTTTACTGGTTCCGATTTCACAAACACCGTGTTGAGGCGGTGCAGCTTCTTTTCCACAGTCAGGGATGGAGCATAAGGACTTCCAAAGGAAAGAGGGGCTATTGGAAGGTGTGTTGTCACAAGTTGAACAGGTATGGAAAGGAGAATAGGACTAAATAATAACACAAGCAGGTGTGTTGTGTCTTCCAACTTCCCGAGAACTGCCAATTCCTCAGAGGCAGGGTCTGTGTTAGAAAAGCCGTGCTAACTTACCCAGCAATGCAAACCAGCTGGGTGCAAGTGCCAGGCCTTTCTGTTGGGGATACATGAAGAGGTGATGAATGAACCCCTTCAGCTGTGTGTCTCATACATCGCCGCCCAGGTAAGAATCCAATTTCACATCCTGCTCATTGTGAGCAAAGGCTGACCCCGTGAACTTGGGAGAATGTTCAAGACCAGAGAAAAGACACTTTGCCCCACTGTTCACATTTCAAGGCTGGCAACAACAGTGTGCTAGACTCCTCTAGCAGTCTGGCCAGAGGGCCGGCCACATACCACTGAAAAGCTGCCCACATCGGGCAGCAAATCCATGGCTTGGAGCAAATGAGAAAACACATCGCAAGCAGCTAGCCCTGAAATACACATGTGTTTGGGATAAACATTTCTAACTTCCTTCTAGCTTAGCTCCAATAAATTGAATCCCAAGGTGCTGTTTATCAAGTCTAACACAGAAGAATCACATCTTAGTGTGCTGGGCTTTTCAGACTCAATGCTCTGAGCCATTTAAGCCTCATCCAAACCCCCTTGGAATCCTTCAGCAAAGAGGGTCTGTGCCCAGGGGCCAGAGTCCTGGTCTGTTTCCGAAACAGCGCACAGCTGCACACTCCTTCAGCACCATCCTCACCTGAGGTGGGAGGCCGTGGGGGTGGTCAGTTTATTTGTTCGCTCACTGTTCTGCAGCTTTGCCCTTAATTCATTCATCTCGGCATCTTTAAACTGGAGTTCAGACTGCAAGCATTGGAGCTGAAAGGCAGGAGATACACACATATACTTGCTGTCGTTCTATCCCATATGCAAAATACCCCTGGGCTCCAAAGTCTAAAGCTAATAAAAGAAAAACAGCTAAGGAAACATCTGTGACATGTCACACTTGAGCCTTCTTCCCCAAAGACTACCTGGAGCACGACCACTCGGTTCCCAACTATTGTGAGGGCAGTTTGTGAGGGTCCAAATCCCAGCCCTACCGTTGACTAAGTTCTCAGAATCCTCACTTATATGTAACGTAAGCTAACCTCTGTCTTCATCACGGTTGTGGGGATAAAATAAGAATAATGTATATGTATATAAAATGCATAGCAGAGACCTGGGTGAGGTGCCATATCTCAGCAGTAGCAGGCTGACCTTTCTGTGAAAATAACCAAAGATAAAATAAACCCACTGCCATCGAATCGGTTATGACAAATGGGGACCCTAAGTAGAACCGCCCCAAGGGGTTTCTGAGATGACACAATCTTTATGAGAGCAGACGGCCTCATTTTTCTCTCTTGAGTGGTGGGTGGCCTTGAACTGCTTCACCCACTACACCACCGTCAGGACTCCTTTAGTGAGCCCAGGTCTTCTTGCAAGTCTGGGCAGGGTATTTGGAATAGTTTTATCAAAACCCTGTGTAGTGGTGGAGACCTGATGTTTTGGGCCCAAGCGCCTATTACAGCTCTTCCTCTTAAGCTAGGTCAACTGATGAGGATTCCTACTCCCGTGAAGAGTTACAGTCTCTAAAACCCACAGGGGCAGCTCTAGTCTGTCCTGTAGGGTGGGCTACTAGTCAGAATCGACCCGAAGGCAGTGCCATTGACTTTACAGTCAACTGAAAGGAGTCTTTACCAACAGGTCTAAAAAGAAAGACCTGCTTCCGCCGGCTTCTCAGCCTAAGCTAGTGAGTTACTCCTGCCAAGAACAACTTCCATGGCAAAGTAGAGTTTCACTGAAATCTCCTGCCAAACCACATGCAGAGCTTGGATGAGCAGTGCCCGGCTCATAGCCCACATCACAAAGAACTTAAAACAGTGACCCCTGGGAAACTTGCGAGAGATACTGGTCACTGCTTGTAAAGGGACTCAACAGTAGGCAGGCTGGGGTCTGCAACATGTGAAGCAAATATGTGGGGTCACCTTTTTGGAGAATTCCTTTTCCTTGTCACTCAGCGCTTGAGCTTTCTCGTGCTCAAGAAGGAAATGTGATCTTCTTTGTTCCTCTAGAACAGATTCTGTCTGATGCAAGGAGTCTCGCAAAATTTTAATTTCTCCATTTTTAATGAGGACGTCGTCTTCCATCGTCTTCAACTGTAAATCCCAAAATCAATCTTGTGAAAGGTTTGTAAGGGAAAATCACACATGTGCTTGTCAGAAAGTGTTGCTTTAACATGTAAGGAATTCCTAGGGGGTGCAACTGGCTCCCGGGTCAGTGCCAGTTGAAGGGTTGTAGGTTCAAGCCTACCTAGAAGAGACTCAGAAGAAAGGCCTAATGCTCTACTTCTAAAGCAATCAGCAATGAAGACTAAGCAGCCTAAGAGGTCTGTCTACTCATGGTGCTAATGAGGGTGGGAACCACAGTCAGTGGTTTCGGTTTTCTCTTTTCTTTAAAGCATGTAGATGGGGAGAGGGGAAAATACAGGAAAACATTCCTATTGACCAACGAGTGCTCAGAATACATCTATGCCAAGCAGACTTCACCATGGCCTGCTAGGTTTGTTCATGGGACAGCTGATTTTCAACAGGACAGCCCAGGGACACACTTGTCACACACACACACACACACACACACACACACACACACACACACACAC